GGGGGGGGGGTCCATGAGCGCGTTCCACAAAAGAGGGAGGACGGCACATCCTATCAATCGAGAGCGAGGGTAGATCGCACAAGACAGGGGAGGGCTACGCTCCGGCAAGCAAGGTGCAGAGTAGGCTCGGAAACACAGAGTCGCTTTTCTCCCTAGTAAAGGTGGGGTTACGGCAAGATTGAGCCGACGGTCTGAACAGAGACGCATCACGTCTACTACATCTTGAACGCGGCGAGCAACCTGTAGCTGGATCAAAAGGAATGCGGCAATCTGAATCTGTATTTCTGTTACTCGTGGCGATGGATGATGTAGACGTGTGGCTTGACGGACCAGAGGTATACACGATGACTGTGCTGGGGGTCGAAAGTTGCGGGGGAGGCTGGATGCGGAGGGATTCATGAAGCCATCTCGAGAAGCAGGCCGGCGTCTAAAATAAGTTGATTGTTTTGCGTCTTTAATTCTTTTCCGACCCGCCGTTTGCGCCGCCGTGGACGGTGTACTTGGAGATGGAGCGGAGCTTGGGGCCGTACCTATGGAGCAAGAGCGGGATGAAGCACATGGGGATGGAAACGCATCCGATCAAGGTGCAGCCCCAGCTGACGGGGAACGCGCGCGGTCCGTTGCTCTGCAGGTTGTTGAACATGGCGCGTGCCACGAGCGGCAGTGCACCACCGATGGCCGCTCGGAAAAAGTCGTTGCCGGCGTAGACGCTGGCGATGTACTCGGGATAGCAATCGCCGAGGTACGAGAGACCCGACTGGAAGATGAGGAAGGTGCCGACCGAGAAGAGGCTGCTCAGGGCAATGGGGGCCATCCAGTGAATAGACGCCGTCGCTGTCCAGCCGAAACCGAAGAGGCAGACAGGGATGGCCCAAGTTCCGACCATGGCCGGCTCGAGCCACTTCTCCGGAGCCACCTTGCCGTTCTGCCTGTCGAAGAGCGGCTGGTAGGAGTGCTTGACCCAGAGGTAGAACGGCCAGTAGATGACCACCGCGCCGACGAAGATGCCCATAAAAGCGAGTCCCAGCTCGCCCGAATTGAAGCCGTAGGTCTGGACAAAGACGAGGGGAAAGGCCTCGAACCACAGGTAAAGCACGCCGTAGACAAGGCCGATGCTGAGGTTGACGCCGAGGACGATAGGTTCGGTGAAGGAGAGGACGTAGGGACGGACGAAGGTCATGAGAGCGAGCTCCTTGCCGGTGAGGTGCGCGGAAAAGATTTCGCCCTTGGTGCGCAGGTGGGGGTTTCCGGTGACTTTTCGGAGTCTCTGAGCGCGTCGCACGAGAATGTTAGCCGCGCTCGTCTCCGGCAAGGCGATGATGAGGACGACCAAGCTGAATCCGGAGAGCATGAGGAGGGGCCAGATGGTCCAGCGCCATCCCTCCCTTCCGAAGCTCTGCGAAGCAAAGCCACCGATGAGCGGCCCGAGCACCGGGCCACATACGGCAGAAAGACCCCATACACCGATGGCGAGCGGACGCACACGCGGGCTGTACATGTCGCCGATCGAAGCACCACCCGTCGCCAGCGGAGGCGAACCAAAGAATCCGGCGAGGAATCGCAGAATCATGAACCCGGCGATGTTGTTGACGAGCGCCGTGGGGATCTGGAGAATCACAAAGATGAACAGCGTGACCAGGTAGGGTGCAGAGCGGCCGATCGCGGGAATCTCGGAGATGGACGAAAGGCCGACCATGGGTCCAAGACCGTATCCGAAGACGAAGAGCGTCAAGCCGAGCGTGGCAGGGACGGTGCCGACGCCAAAGTAGGCGGCAACCAGCTCGACACCGGGCGTGTAGATGGCTGAGCCCATGTAGACCGAAAAGGTGAGGAGACACAGCAGGCCGGTCACGAAGAACTTGCGTCCCGAGGTCCAGTTGAGCGGGTTGTCGGGGTCGTTGGGACCGTCCCAATCCACGAGGTAGGGGTGCGAGTCGTCATTCTCGTCGTCGGGTGCGGACTCTGCATTGCCGTCATTAGCCTTGTCAGGCTTGGTTGTGGCTGGAGCATCGTCGCTGTTGACCCGTGTGGGCCCGGAGACGCCCGAGGCAGACGATGAGGACGACGAAGCAGGCGAGAGCGGCGAAGCCTCGGAGGCGTGCCGTGTCCTGTAGCCAGATTGATACCTTTCCGGGGCTACAAAGTCGCTCTTTTGTTCTGGGTAAGGCAGACTCTTGCCGTGGGAAAACTTGTTGACCATGACGCCCCAGACCGTGTCCTGGTACCAAGGCAGCGGAGCCCGGCGGGACTCGTTGGCGGTGTCATGGTGGGTGCTCGACTGCGCCATGTTGGAGAGTCACAGTACTTCCGTGCGGTGGGTGGCCTGGTGGATGTGAGTGATGGGGACAAGAGCAACACGCAGCCACCAAGCCATCGAACCAAGAGCTCTTATAAGCTAGCATTCCGTGGGCGGGACATGCTTACGGCCATTGCGATCTTTGACATTTCTCGAAATGAAGTGGCACTCTGACGCGCCTTGACGCGCATTTCGTGCAGATTGACCGGTATCCGCGGCATTTCCAGGGCGCTGGACCCGCGCAAGGGCTCTCGCCAAGCTGTCTACATGCGGCTTGCGACCGTAGGCCGCGTGGGCCAGCTGCCAAGATCCAGGCTTGTGCGAGGATGCAGCCAGCTCTGGCGGGAGCTGAGCGGCCCATTTTGCAGGAGGGAGTCCGACTAAAATTTCCCGCGGGAGGCTTCATGTCGTCACGGGAAGAGGTCGTGGTGCTGCAACAATCGAAGTATGCGCTCACGCGTGTGGTAAGCAGCGACAGCAACCACCCGCGGTCTGGCGGGTGCTGGCGGCTGGGTGCGAGCGCCGCGGATCGCGGTAGGGATCTACGTCAGAGCCGGCGTCTGACGCGTGCTCCTCGCTCTCCACCACGCTCTGTCCAGCCAGATCGGAGAATTTTCGCACTCGCTACAGCACGTCGGGTGCCTGTTTGCAAGCTTAAAAATTCTTCATCCCTCTCCCTCTTTGCCGCGGCGGAAGCTAGCGAAGTTAGATGTGATAATGCAAAGCGATCATGAGCCTAGCATGACCTTCGGCCTCCACCGCGCACCACCCACCGCGCACCACCCACCCAAAGAACACTCAGCATCGAACCGCTCACCGGGAACACTCAGCATCGGATCTCATCAGCCGGCGCCACGAGGGCGTCCGAGTCCAGATCTCTCTTGACAGCCTGCAATACGCCGAGCGCTACAACCAACGCCTTTCCCGCGGCTCCCGCGTCGCTCCAGCCATCCCTGCAGTCCTCCCAACTCCGCGGTATTTTGAGCCCGATCTCACACTCTCGCATTTCGAAATTCCCATCCCGCGGTCCACGCGCAGTTCGTTCAAATCAAGACGCTGCCATTTCGCAAGCCACCGTCTACAGCCTCGAAGTTCCACTGGAGTCACATCCACCGTCCAGCCAAGCAAGCAGAGAAGAAAAGAGAGACAGCCGAGTCAGAACCAGGAAGCGAAAAAAAAGCACAGAGAAAAGACGTGTGATTCGATTGCTTTTGCGAGGATACACTGGCAGCGACGGCCAAAGCGACGCCCAGCACGAGCGCATCATCAACGTCGAGACATTGTAGAAGGCACAAGGGGAGGGAGACGTAGGGAGCGTACCTACGCGCTGTCCTTCTGGGCCATGAAGACGAGCAGGTCAAGGCATCGGTTCGAGTAGCCCCACTCGTTGTCGTACCAGGAGACCAGCTTGACAAAGTTGTTGTTGAGCGAGATACCGGCAGCGGCGTCAAAGATGGACGAGTGAGGGTTGCCGATGAAGTCCTGCGACACGACAGCGTCCTCGGTGTAGCCGAGGATGCCCTTCAGCTCGTTCTCCGAGGCGCGCTTGATCTCGGCCTTGATCTCGTCGTAGCTGGCGCCCTTCTCGAGGCGGGCGGTGAGGTCGACCACCGAGACGTTGGTGGTGGGCACGCGGAAGGCCATGCCGGTGAGCTTGCCGTTGAGCGAAGGGATGACCTTGCCCACGGCCTTGGCGGCACCGGTGGACGAGGGGATGATGTTGGCGGCCGCAGCACGGCCTCCACGCCAGTCCTTGGCCGAGGGGCCGTCGACGGTCTTCTGGGTGGCGGTGGTGGCGTGGACGGTGGTCATGAGACCCTCGACGATGCCGAACTTGTCGTGGATGACCTTGGCGAGGGGAGCCAGGCAGTTGGTGGTGCACGAGGCGTTCGAGACCACCTGGGCCTTGGGGTCGTACGAGTCGAGGTTGACACCGCAGACGTACATGGGGGCGTCAGCCGAGGGGGCCGAGATGACGACCTTCTTGGCGCCACCCTTGATGTGGGCCGAGGCCTTGTCGATGGTGGTGAAGACACCAGTGGACTCGACGACGTAGTGGGCGCCGGCCTTGCCCCAGGGGATGCTGGCGGGGTCCTTCTCGGCGAAGACGGCAATCTCCTTGCCGTTGACAATGAGCTTGCCGTCCTTGGTGGAGACGTCGCCCTTGAAGACACCGTGGGTGGAGTCGTACTTGAGCATGTAGACCATGTACTCGAGGTCAATGAAGGGGTCGTTGATGGCAACAACGTTGGCGCTGTTGTGGACGACCGAGTTACGGAAGACGATACGTCCAATGCGGCCGAAGCTGTAGAGTTACAAGTAGCGGAAGAATGACCGAGCGTCAGTGTCTCGTTCCTTGTCCTTTCTCGTCGTCTCGCCCGAGCAACTGCCAACACCCGTGAGGAGCGTTCCCAACAACTAGACATTTTCGTCTCTACGCTGTCAGAAATGGCTCGACCGGGTGCAGACGCTATGCCCCGTTGCCGCACAAGCGGCTCAGGTCTCGCGATGACCACGATCACGAGCGGCGGCAAGCGAGCTGCGCTGATCAAACACTTCCTTCTCAGCGAAAGCAAGGAGCTAGCCGTCCGGAAAGTGTTGCGCGACGACGATCGCAGCCGGCGCCGCTGTCAAAGGAGGAGGAGGAGGGGGCGAGGAAGATGCTTACCCGTTGATACCGATGTTGACCTGGGACATTTTTGAGATGATGGATGGGGAGTGTGACACGAAGAAGATTCGATGGTGGAGGAGAAGGAAGAAGAGGCGAGGCCGACACGCACTTTTGATCGCTTTGCGCCTGCAGGAGGTTGCGGGTCTGCGTCGCCCAACACTGCTCGCTGCTGCCGCTGGCTGGCCTCTGCGCAAAGCCAGTGGCGGAGCGAGCCGAGCCAAAGGATGACTGCTGACGGGCCCGGAGTGCGCCGCGGGGACCGCGCAGGTCTGCCTGCCCCCTCTGTGCTTTGGGAACAATCGATCTTCTGAATAATGCCCACTCTCTCTGCGCTCTCCCACAGAAGCTTTTGGAAATGCACGGGCTGATCGCTCTTGGCTCCACTGCCCAATCAAGCTGATCCGAGCGTCCAGCCTGAAATCCAAAAACATCTATTCCGCATTTCAAAAAAGTCGCGAAGCACTTGAATTTCAGGGTCATGTGGAGCCTTTGCGTTATCACTTGAAGATCAGTGCGTGTGCTGAGCTGCGTCTCGCAAGACCCTGCCTGCTCGCTCTTTCTTCGGCGCAACAGTGACTCCTTCTCGGTGAGACTTTCCCTCTCCTTTTTTCGACTGCACTTTCTTCTTATCACCGGGCGCTGATTTGTTGGTTCTGCTGCGGTGCGCCAGTCGATCAGATCTGAGCTCCATGAGCAACGGCCGAGTGAAGCGTGTCGGGCGAGAAGCCGAGCAGCAGTTGCAAGAGGGGGAGGCTGCAAGACCGGCAGACAGGCAGGGGGAGGCCGGCTGGCGTCACCACGCTTCAGCCCGCTCACCGCCGCCGCCGCCTTGGATCCTCGACACAATGCAAAACATCCGGTAGGGGCTCCGGGTGGGTCTGGTTCCGATTTGGCGGGTGAAAGAGAGAGGAGCACGAGCGCATGAGCCTAGTGCGGGGTGCGGGTGGAGATGCGGGTGCAAGCGGAGGGCCGCCGCTGTGTTGTTCGATCCGGAAAGCCAGAAGGATCTTTCCGAGGCGACTGGCGAAGGCATTCACGGAGCTCGCCCAGCAAACTACGACTGCACCACCTGTCCGTTCACCTGTCCGTTTATGCCGAACAGCCAGGCTTCAAGTCGAGCTTCAGCCTCGCTTTCTGCCGTTCACGCGAGGATCAGGCCGATGTCGAGAAGCTCTCCTGCATCCGAATGGACCGAATGCTTCGGAGGCACACGGGCAGGCCTTCTACACCCGGGAAAAAGCGGCTTTGCTGGTCGCGGTTTTTCGATTCTCCCTCGGTCTAACAATCTCGTACAGCCATCTTTTACACTCTGATCGGCTCAGGACTGTCCACCTCCCGATCAGATTTACCCCGATCGACAGCTTGACAGGTTGGCCCGAAGCTTCGACAGCTTCCCCCACGAGGACCTCGCGATGGCGTGCTACCCCGCACTTTAGGCGACAAGCGATGCAGCACACCACCGCTTTACCGGCAATGCACTGTTGTGCCAAGCCGTGGTATCGAGACCTGCAATGGCTTCGGTCCAACTATGCAGGGGCCATCCGACCACGGATCCGGTCGTTGAAGCCACCGGCTCAACCCAGCTCTTCGGGACCGTGCCCGAGATCTGATCCAGCTGAACAGGCTCAGACCACCTCTTGACTTGTGACGATCAACCCCATCTAAGCTTCACCCAAGATGGCTCCAGTCGCGGTCAGTGCCTCAACGCTAGACGCGCCTGCGCATGCTTCAAAGCAAGTGGCGCAGGATGGCCTCGTGCGAGGCGACTCCAACATCGCCTTTGCGCCTGCCTCCGAGCCCTACCAGCGCAGGCTGAAGCTAGTTCAGAATGATCCCAACGAGCGCGAGATCACGTTTCCGCTCATCGTTCGACCCGTGCGCACAAACGGCAGCACCGAGCCTTTGACTACACCAGAGACCGTCGAATCGGTACGCTCGCTAGCGCCTGCGCCCGCCAGCGAGTATCGACCATCGCGACTACAAGAGCTCATGGATGCGCACGGAGGCGCAGTGCACTTCAAAGGGCTGCCCATTCGCAGTGCCGATGACTTTAGCGACTTCATGCACAGCTTGGCTGGTGCACCTCCATCGAGCGCCGATCCAGGAGAGACTCGCAACCTGTGGCATGCGCATGTCGACAAGGGTCTCATGGTGATTCGCCACCAGATGGCGCCCAACGTGGCCACGGCCAATGAGGGCCCTCCGCACCAGTCGATTGGATCGCACAACGAGTACGGCCTTTCGACGCACTACCCCTCGGTCATCGCCTTCTGCTGTCTCTCGGCACCCACCTCGGGCGGTCAGACGCCCATCGCCAACAGTCTGGCGCTCTACGACAGGCTCAATTCGAGCGTGCCCGGATACGTCGAAAAGATCACTCGGCGCGGTCTGACGTTCGTCATCCACCACCCCGTGGCCAAGGTCAAGGACTCGGTGCAGGGCAACAGCCTATACAACCCCGACTCGTTCGGCCCCACACCCCAGGACAAGATCGATCTCACCCAGCTCACAGAGGCTGAAAAGCGCCAGCTTGTCGAAGACAACATCCTCGATTTGGCCCGAGAGGGCGGCTGGGGTCAGCCCACCGCCGACGAGGATGGAGAGGGCAAGTTGGGAGCATGGCACCAGCGCGGATTTTCGTGGACCTGGCTCGAGGATGGATCGATCAATGTGTTCCAGCGCGTACCCGGGATCCGCGTGCACCCGACGCTCGGACGACCCGCCTACTTCAACAATGTCGGCAACCGCTACGCCTACTCGAAGCAACACGGCTGTCTGGAGCCCCCGCATTATTCGAGCGAGAAGAACGACTTCTTCCCTCCACCTTCCTTCCCGCGCCCGCTCGACGGCAATTCGACCGAGCAAGACGAGACGATCCCACTCGAGTGGCTTGAAACCGCGCATCGCACAACCGAGGACCTCCAGGCGCACGTCGAGTGGCACCAGGGCGACGTGCTCGTCATCGACAACCTCGCCGTCCAGCACGCACGAACCCCCTGGACCGGCCCGCGCAAACTCGTCGCCAGCCTCTGGGACCAGCCCTCCTACCTCGCCAAGCATGCCCCCATCCGATCCTAGTCCCAAGCTCCGTGACAATTCCACATCCAGAAGCTGCGTGTAGACGTGGATTGATGCATAGTAAAGAGTACAAATGGGATTAAGACAAGTCTATCTGAGCGAGAGAGATGGGTGACGAAAGAATGCAAATCCGAATGGTGGTTTAAGAGAAGAAGTAGAGCGAGCGCTTGATCTCGTTGACGTCGAACGAGCCCTTGGCGGGGATGGGCGGCAGGATGTCGGCGAGGTTGACAAACTTGGCCTTGAACTTGGACTCCCACTCCTCGTCCTTCTCCGCCTTGGACTTGCGGCTGCGCGTCTTCTTGGCTGGTGCCTGCGCTGCCGCCTCGCCGTCCTCGCCCTCCTCGCCCTCCTCGGTGGCGGCGACTTCGGCGCTGTCGACATCATCGCCATCCTCCTCGGCCGCCTCCTTGGACGGCTTGCCGAGGATCACCTCGCCTTCATCGCCCGCAAGCTTGGCAAGCTCGTCGGCGGGCATGGCAAGAACCGTCTCCGAAGGCGACGACGTCGACGAGACGCCGTCTTCGACCGCAGTGGCCTTGGAGCGCGGACGACGACGCTGTGCCGACTGCAGCGAGACAACGGGCACCTTGTAGCCCTCGTAGCGCTGCAGGAACTCCTCGCGCAGGCGGTAGAGGATGTCCTGCGAATGCAGACGCACAAACGTCTCGCGAATCATGTCCGACATGGTGTCGATGTCCGCAGCGTGCGTCCAGTACGAGTCGTGAACCGAAGCAAAGGTGAGACCGGCCGCATGGCACTCGAGCGCCGTCAGGATCATGTGCGTCGCGTCCAGGCTGTGGATAAAGTTGGGCGGGAACGCGGATGCCTGCTTGGCGGGCGAAACCTCGGCGTTGAGAAGCGGGTCGTTAATGAAGACGGTCTGCATCGACGTCGAGACCTGGCGCTTCTTGGCCTTGCGGTACGGCTGCACGACGGGCAGACCCAGCGCCGTGGTCCAGATGACCGAGGTCATCTGCTCCTTGGCAATACGATCCGCCTTGGCAGGATCACGCGAGAATCCGCGCACATCGGCACGTCGCAGGTTGGCCTCGTTTGGCAGGTAGGGTCGCGTGGCTTCCTCGACTCGCTGTCCGGGGATCGACTTGGCGATCACCTTGGCCGAGAAACTCAGCCAGTCCTGAATCTTCTGTGCGCCGGAGAAGAGGTTGCCAATGCACGACATGATCACCTTGGCAAGGAAACTCGCCGCATTGAAGAGGTCCTCGGCTGGCACGTCGCCTCGGTCTGCCAGCTGACGCATGACCTGGTTCTTGGCACCGATAAAGGTAACACCGTACACGGTAGTCATGACTGTCTGCTTGACCACCTTTCGCGTGACTTTGCCTTGCAGGATCTTTGCGGTGCGGTCGCCCTTGGCTGCCTCTTCGTCGAGCACCTTGATCACCAGGTCCGCCACACCGGAGTAGACGTCGGCCGGACGGTCGCCACCGGACAGGTTCACCTGCTTGGCTCCCGCAAGGTCACCACCAAGCGCAGCGTAGTGCTGCAGGCCGTTGCAGGTGCCGTCCTGGTGGACGGGAAGGCAGGATTCGTACGCCTCGGGTCCCTCGGGATGGTCGAGCGCGGCGCGAAGCTCCATGCACGCAGCAAGACACTGCCACGGGTCATCGGCCTTGAGCCACCAGCGGTTGCCGTCGAGCGGGCGCTCGACGCTGTCGCGGATGTCGGCCTCGTGGTCGATGGCAAACTGCTCACGCTCGCCGAAGCTGGCCTTGTCGTAACCAAAGACGTTGGAGATGTGGATCCTGAGCCAGCGCAGACCGGCCTTGCCGAGCGGCTTGCTGTCTGCAAACATGAGCAGACCTCGGCAAAGGTCGTTGCCGATGTGGTTGAGGTGGGGCGGCATGGGGTAGGCTCGGCCGCGGAAGTCCATGTTGTGTGGGAAGTAGAAGCGCTCGCCGAGGTAGGCGCGTGCGATCTCGAG